CAGCCTTGGCACTTGGCATAATCCCGACATCAGCAACACCACGAGCTTCGGACGCCGAATCACCTGACGCCCAAAGGGTGAAGCGTGAGTTTGAGGTTGGATCAGGAGAACGCAGAGAGATAATGGAATTAGGGTCTTGTATGCGTGTTTCGGAGACACAACATAAATCTAAATTGAATGTTTCAAGGGTTCTAGCTAATGCAGCTTGTTGACCGATCTGATAGAGTGTGCGGACATTAAACGCGGCTAAGTCAAAAGGGAATTTCGGCTTCAAAAATTCTGTAAATCCTAAATGTTTGGACATGTTGGTAAAACGCTGAGTGATATCTGATAGGTCTTGTAAACAGCAGATGTGGGGCATTATTCGGGATTGAAAAGAAGAACTAGACAGATGGGAAAGATGGTTTTCCAATTGGGTACCCAAGACTTTAGGGCACGGCATACTTCGCGGTTGCCCACATCGACGAAGGGGTTTTTCTTTGGGAATCGCAACCGGAGCCTTTGACTCAAAAGTCTGACCCACAAGGTGGTGGGGCGTAAATTCAACACGTGAGCGTAAACGAAGCACTCGTGTGGGAGCTTCTGGAGACCTGTCACGTATGGCCTTTGAATTTCGATTAGTTGTTTTGTTCGCTAGTGCATTGATTATCGGTCCGCTTTTCGGGATCGGCCCTTAGCCTCATGCACCCAGTGAGACAAGCGGAACGTAGACGGGACAGCACCCTATTGGCTGGGGGCTGCCCAGCTTGGGCGGGCGGTAGCTGTCCAATGAAGTGCGAATACTTCTCCCACCGTCGAGAGGAAGCCCCAGCTATCCCGCTCCTACGTTCATCTAACGGGGGGAGGGGGTTCGACCGGTAAAGTGCCCCTCACCGTGTTTATTTACTGGAGTGGCCTCTCCAGGGGCAGGTGTGGATAGAAGGAGATCAGGAGGTGCCCAAGCACTTGGTTTTTCGAGACTGAGCTTCGTCTGGCCTCTACCTGTTGACCTTTCAGGCATGATTGGATCTGTGGCTGTGAGGAGCCATCCCGTATAGCTCGCAGGGTCATTGAGGCGCGCAAGCCATCGCACCACGTCAAGGTGCAGCCTCGTCGTGGTATAAATAAATATGGTGTTCAGTTGTTCGCCGAGCTTGGCATTTGTATTACAAACGTTTCATCACCAATCGAGGTGACATTCTCAATGCAGTAACTGCATTGAGAATGTCGCCTCGATTGGTGATGAAACGTTTGCAATACAATTTCCAAGCTCGGCGAACAACTGAACATCATATTATACCACCCGAGCTACAAAAACAACAATCAACATCGTTGTTTACCAAACTGTCATAAAGAAATATAAATAAAATAAAATAAAATAAAAATAAATAAATATGGATATTTCTGTCTTAAACCTAGCTATAAGTTCAATAGCTGCTGTCCATTGGTTTGAATAGGAGTATCGTTGTTTGCTTGCAGTCAGTGCCGCTGGGTTGGCGGAATCCTGTTTAGTGAACGAGAACACACTGACTTGCGCTCTGGTATCCACCATAAACCTAAGCTTGGATGAGTTACCGTAGATAAAACGGAGGAGACAAGGGTTGAGAGCCGGTTGAGGTAGTCGCCGTGATCTTCCGGCCTGTTATTTTTTCTGCTGGGTTTTAAACGAACACGGTGGTTCGCACTTCGTAGCCTGACATCCGAAGCGTCTGTGGTAATAACACAGACCGCCTCTAGAGGGAGTTCGTCTACACCCGTTGGTTGACCGGGATCGACTGCGGGTTCTGTGGCTAGTCTGCAGATTGTTGGTGGTCTGCATACTAGTCATAGCCAATCACAGGTCCTCGAACTGCATAGACAGAAGCTGCACTTCTGTCATGGGATCGTTTTAAAGCTTAACGGGAGCTGGATTAGGGAGCGTCTGATGAACCATGGTTGGTTCAGGGCTCACAACGTTTGCCATTGTGGGCTGAAAAAGTTGAGTTTGCTCCATGGCTCGGTCTGCAGCTTCGGCTAGTTCGTCGAGACTGAACATCGACGAAGACGTTAAGTATACTCTGTACGTAAGGCGGAAGCCGCTGGAACCAGATCTGGCGTAGTACAGAGTCGTCTAACGCTGTTGCCTACTAAAGCACGCTTTTGTCACAGCAACTGGGATGGCTTGAGATTTCCCAATTGTATCCGAGACAGAAGAAGCTGGGTGCGCTTCTTTTCCGAAATTTCCATGTGTCAGAGGAGTTCTTCTTTGAGCACGTCGCACGGGTTGTCTGCGGGGATATTCATGTATATATCCCTGGAATTGCTCAGCATATTTCACGATATCGGAGACAACAGTTCGTGATAGCGTAACAGTTGCCCGGTGATGCGAGCTTCATGGAATCGCGATTCAAGAATTGCGAGGAACACCTCCGGGTCCTCTGGCATGAACTACGGTGCCCTGATTTGGTCCCAGAGTGCTTCGCTTTCGGTTGAATACTTATGCTTAGGGCTAATCATACCAAACCGTAAATATATGATGTGCGGTTGCGTAACCAATTATAAAAATGTGACCAATAGCGCCTAGGAGAAATAATACGTTTGGAAAACGAAAATGCGAACCCGAATTCAGCAGCCTTGGCCCTGGTACTTAAGGCAATAACAATACCTAATTAACCAGACGCTGGTGCGACGGTCCTCGGAAACACGCAAATGAAATGCTTGTTTTGGGTTGGAAGGGGATGTCAATCAGAATAATGACCTCTGATCCTGAATGCGTTTCTGAGAGGCAAAATACATCAATCTCTAGACTTTCAATCGTACGAGCCAAACCTGCTTGTCCTTTACGCATTAGGGTTCTCACGTTGAATGAAGCCAGTTTGAACGCAGAGTAAGGTAGAATGAATGGAACGGTTCGCTCCGAGCGACACAGTTCTGCTGAGACATGTCAAGCAGGATAACAGCGATCTGCAATATGAACTGTTTGCTACCCTTCACCCGTTATTCGCTCCTCGTGGTCTCACTGCGCATAGTGGGCTATCTATCGAGATCCAGTCCAATAGGCCAGCCTCGATCCTGATGCTTAAAGTAATACCAACGTCTGCTTGCCTAGACGCTGATGCGATAGGGTCCCTGAATCCTCGCAGTTGAACCGCTTCATAATCCATACAAGGTGAGTGAAAATGTGTAAGGATGATAGGGATTGAGCCTGTTTTAGGGACTGGACTGCACCCTGACGTATTATGATGGCTTGTGCACCTCTATGACCCAATGAGCTACGCAGAATGGCTTTTGTCAAGCCAGGAGATTCCATTGTGCCCGGAAGGTCAATAGGTAGAGGTCAGATGAAGTTCAGTCTCCTGATTGTCGTGTTTGCTATTCGTTCCGTTTCCGTATGCTGCTACTCACGTCATTCCATTCATTTTTAAGCCCATGTGCGAATATTATTACACGAGTAAAGAGTATTCTTCCGGTTTGCGCGTTCTCTCTCATCTCGACCGTTATGATCGTACTCCAGGAACTTGCGTTTCAGTGGTTAAAAGGTGGTGGAGGCGTAATCGATCCAAGTAAATCGGCCTCCACTCCGTTTCACGTGCTGCCTCTTGGTTAGGTTTTTGTTAGAACTAAAGGCTTTGGACGAGAACCCTAATCATTCTCCTGCTTAGTGGCGGGATACCTTCCATCGAACCCCAATACATACACAAAATAAAAATAATTCCATACTGCATAAGTCGTCACGCAGGATAATCAAGACCGCGCTGCCCGTTGCATCGAGCGGGGTGGGTAGTGATAAGTGGGCTACTGCTCAGATATCCCAACCTTTATTTAACTCTTTGTCTTTCGTTCCAAACCCTCTCCCTTTACCCCTTCTACTGACCTGTAATAGTCCCTCAAGAAACTTGGATGTCGCTCGCCAAAGGTCATTGCTAAATAGCAGTGTAAGTGACTTACCACGGAATGGATTGCAGATTCTAAAGCCTCGTCAATCACTCAATCTGGGGGCCTTCAACGTGAGGACTTTGATGCAGCTAGGTGAACAAGCTTGTCTGGCTCGTACAATGGAATTCTTAGGAATTGATATTTGCCGCGTGTCGGAAACTCGGATCCAGGATGCTACTACCATAAGCCACTTGAGCGCGCCAGAGTTGTCGACGAGATACGTTATTCGCACATCAGGCGACGATGAAGCTCGTTCAGTAGGTCAGCGCGGGGTAGGTATTTTACTTAGTTACTGCTGGGTCTTCTGTTATCGATTGGATCCCCGTCAACAGTCGTTTATGTGCAGTGCGTCTCCAGGGTTCAATCAGCGTCCGGAAGGGAAGCGACATCAAAAGGTGTTTGTTCATCGTATGAGCATATACTTTGATCAATTTCAGTTTTGATACCCAAAAGAACGCTTTCTACGATGAGCTCACTTATCTCATTGGGATGAGTCGAAGCTCCGACATAGTTGTACTTGCAGGTGAATTCAACGAGCAGGTTGCAAAACTGGGCGCATCAGAAGCTTGCCCAGGCGGTCATTGTGCTCTACCCTGCCATCGAACAGATAACGGCGACTATCATCTGTTCTTATCAAGCACCAACTTCCGACATAGCTCTCGACGGACGGCAACGTGGCGCTCCAGTTCAACTGGTACGCTAACTCAAATCGACCACATCGCAGTAATTTACCGTTGGCGTGGCTCAGTGCAAAATTGCAGGTCTTATTGGACCATTTGCGTTGAGTCTGACCACGCATTAGTTCCGATGCAGTTCACTCTCCAACTCACTGGTTGGCGACAAAACCAGCAAGGTCGGATAGCTCATCAACAACTATCTGCTCCAGCCGTTCGTGCAAGCTATGAGTCAGAGCTAAGTGCACTTCTGCGTGGTGA